GTGGGGGTTGGGCGACAGTTGGGGCGGTTGTGGGGGTTGGGCGACAGTTGGGGCGGTGGGGATGGGGATTGGGGTGGTTGTGGTGTTGAGGGTTGCAGAGATATTTTGGTGTGGGGCAGGGGTATTTTGGGCACTCTAACCCATTAGTAACACTCACTAAAAATGACCAAAAGTCAAACCGGGAACATATAATCCGGATGGAGGGAGTAATTTTTAATGTTATTCTCAAACCGACTCATCGACTACTTCATGTCATGGACACCATTTTATTTTCGTACTGTATTTTTATATTTATGAATATATGTTATGGTATGATTTCTAATATGTGAAATTTGCACTAAATAGGACTTAAATATAATGACTTTCCTAATGTAGGACTTAAACTTTTTTATTCCCTAAATAGGACTTAATAATTACTTTGCGGGAGGAATAATGTCCAGTAATGATGGACATTTAGTTGAATAATGACTACATTATAATGACCAAAGGTCCTACATTGAGAAATAAAAACATAAGGTCCTATATTGGGAAAGTCATTATTTTTTAGTCCTATTTAAGTAAATTACTCTTTCTATATACTGTATTTTTTATTTTCTAATTTCATACCATTCAATTTTAACCTCGTCCAATTCTTAACATATACGGAGTACTCTGTTTTATTATCAAAAATCTCACAATGATTTTATGTCCTAAATTAAGTTATATGCTAATTATTTATGACATTTTATTTACTTTTTTTTGTTACTCATTTTATAAAATAATAGTCATATCACATCTAGTTTGTAAGTTTTTTAACGTAAATTTAAGTATGTAATATTTTTTTGAATTTTACACCATTTTTATATAAAATAATTTAAAAATAACTTTTCTCAAATATCATGAACCAAAATGGGAAAAATGAAAAACAGATCCGGACAAATGAAAAAGACAAAAAAAAACTAAAAAGACAAACTCCCTCCGTCCCTGAGTGTTTATCTACTTTTATTTTTGCACACCATCCAATGCACTTCTTTAATCCATTTTATCTTGTAATTTGTATATTAAAAAATTATAAAAATTATATATTAATAATCTATATGTTAAAACGAATCGAACAAGATCACACATGACTATTTTTAGGCTTACACATTGGGATAATTTGATGAGTCAATGTGTTTAAATGAACAGTTCCAAAAGACAAAAGTGGACAAACACTCGGGGACGGACCAAGTATATCAGAAAAAATTTGAAAAAAAATTTAAAAAAAGTTATTCAACGAAAAGATTTGAAAACAAAAAAAAAACACTTAAAAGAGAAAGTCAAAATTAAACAAAAAAAGATGGGGCTCAAGAAGGGGGTGGGGTTAAACAAGCACAAAGGGGTAGGTTGTTGTAAGTGGAGGTTTTAATGAAGAACAATAAGAAAAAAAATTGGGTGAAAGAAGGTAGAAGAAGAAAAGTCAAAAGAAGGGGTGAAAGAAGTAAAAAGAAGATGAAAAAGAAGGGAGTGGGAAGGGAGAGAAGAAGAAAATTAATGGGGTTGAAGATTTTAAAATATATATAATTGTAATTTGCCTAAATGACTTGATGATTACCTGAAAAACCGACTCCAAGTACCATTTGTAAAAACATATTTCAAAGTGCAGCTATTTTGGTGAAAAAAATTGGAGTCTAGGTATGAAAAATAAAAAAAATTGCTGAAAATTCAAGTACCATACATGAAGAAGAGAGGGCAAATGAAGTGTTGCATATTTCTATATCCATTTTGATCCGGTATCCAAGCGATGAGAGATAAAAAAAAATAAAAGTGTTAAGTTTAAATGAATAAAGATCTACATTTACATTTTGTATCAATGTAAGTATGAGATTGATGACTTATATAAACACATAAGAAAGTCCAAGGAAAATTCGAGTCATTACCAAATTCAAATCTGTTTTTTTTTCGTATATCAAATTCAAAAACAGATATTGATGGATATTGAAAATCAAGATCGTATCCGCATCTATGTGATATCAGTCGAATATCAAATATATCTGCATCTATTTTCAATTTTAAAACCAAATTAAACAATACTTTAATTTTTAATTAAACTAAATCAAAATATTATTAAATCAACTAGGAGTATAATTTTTTATGGGATGATTATTTTCTTATTTTTTTATAATTTATGATATTCTATGAATATTTCATATCATAAAAAGATATACACAATACATATATTTACATATTTTTATGTGTACATATATTTTGTATATAAAAATATCTTATACTTTGAGATATGGAAAGAGAAACAAAATATAAAAATAAATATTTAAGAAAAATTATATATAACGAATAAGATCCATGGATACACGTTTATTTAAACGGATGTCAATGCGAAGCGAATTATAAACGGACTGGATGTATGATTACCAAATTTGTATCCTTTTAAGAATCAGATACCGATAATAACCGCTTTTAACAGATTCAGATGATTTTCATATAAAAGAATACAGATGCGAAATGTAATCGAATTTTCGTCTATCCATTTACAGCCCTAGTTCAAACTCAACGTCAGTAATTCAACACATTATACCAAACTCAAATTCAAATCGCAATAAATTTCTTTTACTCATTACTTTAATCATAATTTTTAAAAAGTTTTTAAATTAAAAAAATACATTAAGCTTTAAAAAGGATATATTTACACACAAAAAACCTACTCCCCGACTTGTAGTGAACAAAAAAATTGCAGAAGCTAGAGTGAAAACACATACATTCCTTTAAAGTGAGGAGAGAGAGTGTTTGTAAACCCAAATTAGGTTTGTGAATGAATTAGGATTAAGACTTGAGAGTGTCTATGCCATACACCCGGATGTACAGCGTTTTCTATACATATGCATTAATGAATACTCATTTTTTAGTAAGTGTAATCATTTTCAAGTATAACTAAATTTTAGAGAAAATAAAAATTCCGTTTCTTGAAAATGAGTATTCAATTATTTGAAAATGAATATTTAGTTACTCATAAATGACAGCGGATGTACGAGAAACATCATACAAGTGATTGTACTGTATATATTGCATAGGAGATGGAGGGCACCAAATACTGATATAGGATCCGAGTGGAGATAGTATGATGCATTCACCAATCCCATCTTTCCTTCAAGTTCTATCAACATTTTTCACCTTGTTCTTGACGCATTATATTGTAAATATTGGTCTCCCTCTGAATAATAATCCCCGCCATCATTTCCATCTCTCAAGTTGTATTCAACCACAAGACCAAGATTGTCCGCCAATTTATGATACTTTGAGCACCCTGAACACTGTCACGAAAACATTTCTGGCGAAAATGGATAATGCATTGTGGTGGATCAAAGAGATATAGAAATTGAGATGATATGATCGTTTTCGCACTCAACTTGCCTGAACATAGACGAGTCCTCTTTCATAGGCTAAACGGTTTATGAACCTTTGAGATCGAGCGCCACAGGCGTTGCAGGTGAAAGTAGACAAAAGACTTCTCCTTGGAAGCTTCAAGTCAATGTCTGTTTCCTGCTACAAACAAGAAAGATTTGCCTTGTTAGCCACCTAGAATAGATTTCCATTAGTTTCTTTCGTATCCACTTCACAAAAAAAAAGATTTCCTTACTTGCCCTTGTCAACTTCTTCCCAAAGTCAATGTGGAAAAGAACTTTTGCCCCCATTTTAACCAAATTCAATGGAAAATAAATCAAGAATTGCCAATGTACAATCATATACCGTGGAAGAATCAGATGACCCTGATTCTGAGAAACTTGTAGTGCCTTCTTCCACAGAACAATAAGATATAGAAAACCGACTCTTTCTTGCTTTCCAATGTTTGTGAGAAGTCCTCAACCTGTAAGGCATAACTAGACAATCACAGAATAGAGATGCAAAAACTCAATTCTTTTTAGTTTCATTAATGGACTGAAAGAAAGAATAGCATCCCTATAGTATATACTCCGGGACGCAATTTTTATTTTTTGGAATTCACGATAAACACAAATACTTTGTCCTAAAATACATGTCATTGTCTACCATTCACAGGACAAGCTTTATTCTCTTTCTTTGCATATTTTCATTACTCATTTGACAAAATAATAGTCGTATCACCTCTTCTTTCATAGATTTTTTAATGTAGTACTTTAATATACTTTATTTTTAAAATCTACTCCAATATTTGATTAAACTGAATTGAAATTTACTTCAATCAAATTTTGCTAACCGTAAAGTCACAAATATTTTGGGACAGAGAAAGTATTAAAGTTGGTGATGGGGGCTAACCTGGGAAGTTCAGGATTGTGATGGCATGAAAGGGAATGAATGGGTAAATGGGATTTTGGCGTGGAAGATGTGAATGGAATCATAAGAATGGGATTGTGGAGGGGGCTAACTCTGCAAGCAGCCATGACAATTCAGTACAGAGGAACAAGTTAGAGCTTGTGTGGCTTCACAGTCTTTCCCTAAAGGCGTGTTTCTAACTTCGATTCTTCAAAACTGAACCCGAGACCACACTTGTCCAGCAAAAATGATGTATCAACCTGTTAAAAATTGCATATGTTTTGGATAGCATGTTTATAACATGATGCTCAAAATATATTTCAGATCAAAGTATAACCCAAACCTTAAATTGGAATATGTTTGTATAAACTTCAAATCTTAAGCCACTTAAAGATTAGAGTATAACTAACTAGGCTCAATTTGTTCTTTAAGAATTTTCTGTCCATAAATGACCAAACTTGTAGACACTAGTACTAGGGATGACAACGGAAAGATTTGAGATTCGCTAGAACTCAGATCCCATATTATTTTTCTATCTTCGGACCTATGGTCTACCATATCTAATGAGTCTCCAGATGATGGACTCATGCTCATAAGACTTGATACAAAATGTCAAAATGCATCTAGTGATCTAGCACGTAAAATCAACTAATGGATGATGGAATTCCATCTAACCCAATCGCAATAATATTCAATAATACATTAAGGCCCACTCCAATCAAGCCCAAAACACAAATCAAATACCGTAAGAAATTATAGCCGAGATATATGGGTCAATAAAGATATTTGATGAGATACATAAATATTGAGATATATGGGCCGAAATCATATTCTTTGTCCGCTACAAGATATTATATACAAATCACTTAAAATATTTAGCGGGATCCAAAGATATTCTTTTATCCTCGTTTCTCACTTATAAAACAAAGCAAAAGAAAGAACATTGGGTGGGTGATTTTCAGGAGAAACTACACTACACTACTGCAACTACATTTAAATACTGAATGGCCATTTTCTTCATAGCTCAAGAGTCTCATAAAAGAGTAAATTCTACATCCAGATGTTTCAGCTTCAAAGAAAGTAAGGATCCTTCCGTCCCATAGTGTTTTCTCATCCCACGTCAGCACTCTACACCTATTATGGTGTTTCACATAGAAAGAGTCTCATTTCACAAATGTACACTTTCTAATTTTAATAAGGTGGACCTAGTAAAATCATAAATATCGCGTTGTTTCCGATTTTTATGGTTGGTTTATAGCTTCTTTATCTAATTTGAAACACCGGATATAATGAAAATTAACATCTTTTCTTTCAAATTTGACTCTTTTTTTAGGACAAAAGTATGGTGAAAAATATGACCTTTTTATGGTATGGAAGGAGTAACTTATTTAAAAGTAAAAAGGAATTTTTTTCCCATCTTGTAAAACTAAGTAAACACAATGTTTCTACTGTGTAGTCCCCTTGGTGGAATGGATGAAGGACCATCTTATCCTCCAAGAAAGCATGGGTTTGGGATTTTATGGGAATTCCGAAAGGGAGTAGTTCAGGCTATAAGGGTTAAAGTGGCTTTACGAACACCGAGTTTAACATGACTCGGCTCTAGGGTTGTAGCGGGTCTTAGTTCAGGTTGTAATTCTGAAATTAGAAATATGTAAAATGAACCCCAGAAGGCAATTCCCCCTTTCCTGAAACACACTTATATGGATGAAACTTTAGCACACACATTTCCATGACTGTGAGTTGTAATCAAATATACTTGTGTCATTCTATAAATATCACTATCTGCTATGCGGTTTCAAGAACATGAAGAAGCAAATAAAACGGACGAAAGATGGAATTTATATTCAATGACTGCTGTTAAATAACGAATAAGGGAGCGAGCTCAAATTCTGCACCTGGAGACAGATGCTGTTGTTCAAGACGAAGAAGATAAGAGTCTTGAACATGGTAAATCGAAGAAGGCAAATGAAATGATTAGGAAAAGAGAACATAGTGCTCATAAACACCAGCAAGAACAAAACTTTAATCCATAGTAATCACCTGTAATCGGAAGTAGACGGCGGCGACAGGCAGGACAGGCATGAGCCGATGAAATACTTGCAGTAGACACTAGACACCACTCGAAGAAAGTTCTTATGATATGTTTGGTTAGAGGCAGGTGAAAGTTTTATTAGGTAGGTAAAGGTAGGTAAAGTAAGTTAATGAGTTAAAAAAATTGTGTTTAGATGTTTATTAGGTAATGTGAGGTAGGAAAAGAATAAAATTACTAAAATATCCTTATAATATTTTCTTCATATCTGTAGAAGTTGAGAAAAAAAATAGGTATTGTTAAAGAAGAAGTTTATCACTTTTTTTCAAAAAGAAGAAGTTTATTTTTTTCAAGGACAAAAATTGAAAGTATGATGTCTCATTTTATCACTTTGCCACAATTTCTCATTCTCTTATCTCAAAAAAATAAAAACTGAAAAAAAAATGAAGCAAAACTGGAAACTGAAAAAAAAAATGAACCAAAACTGAAAATTGAATGGCGGCATAGGAGAGCAGAAGAACAAAGTCTGAAAGTTGAAATTTAAACGAAAAAAAAAACTGAAAAAAAAAGAAAGCTTAAAACTGAAAAAAGAATGAAAACTTAAAATAGATGGAAGCAAATAAAGATCCCAAATTGAAACCCTCCAAATTCCCAAATCACAGGGAATTGAAATTGATCGAAAAAATAGAAAAAAAGTGATCGAAATTGAAAAACAATTGAACGAAACTGAAAAAATTGAAGTGAAAAAAAGTGCCCAAAATACCTGTTGGAGATGGAGATGGGAAGACGGCTATGGGAAGCGACGATGCTGGAAGGAGATGGAGATGTGGGGTTCTGCGATCGGGGAAGTGAGAAGGGTAGCAGCGGAAACAGTGTATATTACCTCGATATTTAGCCAAATTGGCGGTAGCAAAAATAACACTGTTTAGAGGTAACCCTACCTCTCTCTACCTCCCCCTACCTTCCTTTACCTATTTCAATTTTTGTTACCAAAGAAGGTAGAATATTAAATCTACCTTGTTCTACCTCCCCCTACCTCCAAACAAACAAAGTGTTAATGAAGAAATTGAGCTAGTTAAAAGTTACGAGTAAAAGTTTTACTCCGTATTAACAGATCGGTTCAAATGAGTCGGAGTCCAAAAGTTAGGAGTTACAAGGAGGGAGCATTATGATGGTTAGCTATTGGGGTTTGGCGAATTGGATTCGTGTTTCCTTTTCTAAATCTTATTCAAAAAAAAATGAATACAAATAATAATATAAATATTTATTAAAATTCAAAGAAAATAAATACAAATACAAATGAAAATGTATTCGATTCAATATGTTTACAAATATACTCAAATTTAAATATAAACATTTATGCCTAATATATTTACTTCATAATTGTTCTTGTAGACATGTCATTTTTAGTACACAATATATATGATTAATTTATGGATTAATAACTTTGAAGCTATAAAATGTAAGAAAAAACTCAAAACTTGAAATTTTGTAATTGAATACGAACAAAATATTTTAATTTAACATCGAATCGAATACGAATAGTAATAGTTATTCAAATATGAATATAAATAATTTTATCATTTTTTAAATATGAATAAAATTTCATAATATTCGATTCAATTCGTTTATTTTACAACATATAACAAAGATTGGTTCAAAAGAGATGATAAGATTGATTTCTTAATGTTAGTAAGGATTGGAAAAAAAAGATGAGCTTCATATTCAAGGGTCTCCTCAAACTTGACTGGACCGCTACTGAGAGATGATAAATTAGATTTTAATTGTTGATTGATGGCATTGAGTAGAGCCTGCACCTGATAGCATGCACTCGTACTTGCAAATGCATTATTCTTAGTATAGTTGCCTCTAGCGCAGTTGTGAAAAATTAAACTTAGGTCTTCTCCTTGGCATTCACTTCCTTTACCAAATGTGCAATGCTCAGTTACATTGTAAAGATTGGAGATTCAACCTTTTGCATCAACATTATACCAATTTGGTTTCAATATAAATCAAAATGAATATGTATATATATACTTCATATTTAAAAATATATCTAAATTGCTTTTTTAAACATTATCGAAAATGCATTAAATAAAAAAATACAAAGTCTGTCAACAACAATATGACCATGATGCAAAAGCTCCCGCCCGTTACGGGGTAAGGAGAGGAGGAGATCGAATGTACTGAGTTTGACTACTACACAGAGAGTGAAATATAAAACCTGAAAAAATAAATAATTGAAATGTAAAATTACTTATGAAATCTAATTTATACTCCCTCCGACTCCCTGTATTTGTCAACATTTGACTTTTAGAACTATTCATCTAAGCACTTTGACTCATCAAATTCTCTCAATGTGTAAGCCTAAATATAGTCATGTGTGATCTTGTTTGATTTGCCTTAACATATAGATTATTAATATATAATTTTTATAATTTTTTAATATATAAATTACAAGATAAAATGAATTAAAGAAATGCATTGAATGGTGTGTAAAAATGAAAGTTGACAAATACAGAAGGACGGAGGGAGTATGAAATATTTTAAAAATCTAATTAAAACAAAAAAATAACATAATAGACGTGTTTTAAATTTATCAAAATAATTAAAGCTCAAAAATAGCACAACTCACGCATAATAAATCTTGAACTAAATTTCCAAAATAAACTTATTACTTCTCAAATGATTATAAAAAAGTTATATACTCCGTATTTGTAACATGTTACTCTCTAATATATATGTTCGGCTCAAAATTTTTATATGAGAAATTCTTTCGCACCGAGATTGTTCCATTCGAGTTTAATTCGATTTTTGTGTGTTTTTTATTCGATGTTTTTTATTTGAGTTTTGTGACTTTTTCAAAAAATTTCGAAATCTGTTAGGTACTCTTTTGCCCTCCTTCTCCACACCCTAGTCCCCTCTATTTTCATTTTCCAAAAGGCCACACCACACATTAAATTCACTCTATTAATTTCAAAATTATTTTTAAAGGTTAAATGTCATTTAAATCAAAGTGTAAAAATTAGAATAAATAATTTTACACTTTAATTTTGAACATTAAGGAGGAGGTGATCCTAACCCGCCGAAACCCTTGATAAACCCTCTCTCACCGTCGGTCTCCCTTGCAACCGACTCAGGCGCAGCACAGTAAGGTCTCTCAGGCCACCGCAAATGCCGTCCATTCAGTCCTACAACGACTTCGTCAAATCCCACGGCGTACTATTAGTGGCCTCCGGATTACCGCCTAAACTCCACCCCCTGCTCTTCCAGAAGCTCGCGGAGGAGACGTTCGACGGCGGCCAACACTTCCAGATAGAGCCTGTGGAGGATGGAAAGCAAAGGCGCCTGCTCTTCACTTCTGATTTCATGGCTAAGGAGTCTAATCTCTTTCTCGTTGACCACGCCTGGACATTTCGCCTTGCTGATGCCTATAAGCAGGTTCGGTTTCTGGAGAATTTGTCTGGAATTTGGTACTCATTGGACTCTCAGATGTATGCGTTTATCATCCTCGCACAAATGGAGCTAAAAGAGTTAATTTTAGGATGTTTTAGTTTCAGATAAATAATACAAAGTAGACTATAGAATAGATAAAAATGATACACACTCTTTTGCTTCTCACTTTCCATGGCGTTTTGGGTAGTAAATTTAGCAATGCTTCAAGGGACTAATGGCAACATCATCTCTGTTTTTTAACAGAGTTAAGGTCTAGACCGAAACAAAGTTGAGAGTAATGAGTTTTTTTTCTATACTCTGGCTTATAGATGCTAGGTTCCAAAATCCATTGTCCAGATTTTATTTAGATTAAAACAGTATTAGAGTTTGGATTTCAGCTTCCACAATCCAAGATTCCAAGCTACAGTATCCAAGTTTCAGATTTTAGACTCCTTAAAATTAAGGCAAAAACAACATGACCTAATAAGGGAAATGAATACTATCAAATAGTTGCATACTAATTTTACTGGACTAGCTTCATCTGTTCGAGTTGTTGAACTGTATTGAAAATCCATCAAAATGATTTTTTTGGGTAGGATTTGGATATATTTGAGATAATAATATCATAATAGTATACTGAATCAAAGCGTCCAAGCTCTGTCAATTACAGTAAAGATGGTCTAGACATGTTTAACCAAGAAAGTCGGAACACATGCCAGTGAGACATTAGGACTTTCAAATTTGCCTAGAAATACAAATCTTAAATTGGGTTTGAGGATAAGTTGAGATATTCTCTTGTTTGCATGTCATGTGTATCATATATTCACACCTTGTAGTTCTGGTTATTTTTGCACATTTACAGTTACAGGAAGTTCCTGGGCTTGCAGAACGGATGGCTGCATTAATGTGTTTGGATACGGATTTCTCAGACACATCTGAGGGAGGTGACATAGGTGGAATTGGAGGCGAAGATGATACTAAATTGAGTGCAGAGGAGATAGTGGCAAGAGAAGTCATTAAGGCCACGAAAGGAGGTGATGCTGCAAGGTGGTTGGAGCTTGACGAGCTTGCCATTGATGATGCTATGCTTTCTTCTCTTGACTTGCCTCATAAATTTCCTGTATGTTATTCAATTCCTACTACCTAATAGCCTATCTTAGCTTTTGGTCTGAGTTCGTATTCTTTTTTGCCTCATAAGTCATAACTATTGTTCTCTATACCAGGATTTGATTGCACTAAGCTTGTGTGATAACAATCTCAAGAATATTGATGTTCTTGTAAATGAGATCACCCATCTCAAAAATCTCAGAGCTCTATGGCTGAACAATAATCCAATTCTGGAGAATGAGTAAGTTCATGATTTCTTCTTGCTCTAGTTGTTTCATAAGTCATGAATAACAGCATCTAACAAAAGTTTTGCTTTTCCAGTGGTGGTTGTCTGATAGAAGCCATTCTTCATGGTTGCCCTAAATTGGAAATTTACAGTTCTCACTTCACACCACATTTTGGTGAGTGGGCATTAGGTTTTTGTGGAGAAATATACAATAAAAACAATCCATGTTGTACATACCAAGGTGATCGCCCATTGCTGTCTTTGGAATCTCTAGACCTATCTAATAGATCCATTAACAACATATTCAGTGAGGTGAGTGCCTTCCAACCTGTCTTGTTTATGTTGTTAAAAGCTTGCAGGATAATAACCACTATTCACGGAGAGAGGATGAAATACAAATGAGTGGTTTTAGATTTTTATCCATACTTCTATTGTCTATCTGGCCTATATTTTAGTTCCATCTCATTTTCTTTATCGTTTTTTTTATCAAGGCATTTTGTCCCACCGAGCTTCCATCTCTCACACATTTGAACATTCGTGGAAATCCATTGGACCAAAACACCGCAAGTGATTTATTGGAACTCCTTAACCAATTCAGCTGTTTGCATTCTTTGGAGGTATCTTCAAGAAACTCAACTCTTAGAGCTTAAAACATGAAAAGGTCTAATAAGAAGCTGATCAGGTGGATATACCCGGACCTCTAGGAGAAAATGCTGTTAGAATTGTTGAAGCACTGCCAAATCTAACTGTCCTCAATGGTGTTAACACATCCAAAATCTGTGAGTCAGGAAGGTCTGTGCTTGATTCAATGTTGCGGCCACGCCTTCCTGCATGGACGGCTGGAGAACCTATTATTGATCGCATCATAAATGCAATGTGGTTATATTTAATGACTTATAGACTTGCAGACGAAGAAAAAATCGATGAAACCTCAGTATGGTATGCAGTTTGATTTGATAAAATTTTCCTGATTCCAGTTTTTAATGTTGTCTTTAACTGAATTCATCCCCCATCACGATGTTCCTATTACTTAATTGTTTGAGCTATGTAATCCTTGGGATATCGATTCAGATAAAATTGATGTATGTTTTTGTGTGCACATAGGTATGTAATGGATGAATTGGGTTCATCTTTACGACATAGTGATGAACCAAATTTTAGAGTGTCTCCATTCCTCTACATGCCGGATGGTGAACTGGGATCCGCCATGAGGTTCTCTTCTCGAACTGTCTGTTCATTACTTGATAATTTGTTTTTATTATTCGCTGAAATCTAGCTATACCTTGGACCTTAGATTACTGACAGCATTGAGTGTTTGCAACTTCAAAATCATTATTCTTTTTCTTCATACAGTTTTGGAAATTTGAGACCATCATTTTACTACTTAGTAGTAAATAAATTAGGAAAAGAATAAACCATTCTGGTATTCAAACATGGAGTTCATCATTATGCAGAAAACTTCCCACTACGCCAAACCCTACACTTAACTTCTTCATTCCATGAATGAAATATTCCTTCATAGGTGGTTAATCACCGTTGTGCACTTATGCCATATGTAGAAATACTATAGCGCCTCCCTCTGTAATTTTTTTCACTTAATAAAGTATTAAGGTACTGATCGAATAATTTCAGCTATTCAATTCTATGGCCAATCAATGATATTCAAAGACATGATGAGTGCACTCGTGATTTTCTACTTGGAATTGGAGAAAATCAACAACGTTCGGCTAGACTTACTGCTTGGTTCCATACGCCACGTAATTATTTTATTAAAGTATTGTCTCTTTCCACTTATCTAAGCTTTTTCGGTGATTATGTAATTTGGTGAATTCAGAACAGTGATTACTACTTCTAAAGTCACTTCTTTTATGATCTACAGGAATATGAGAGGTACAGGGACATGTTGCAAGCAACCAAATTTACATCATCGCCACAAGCATCATCTGTTACAAGTTCTTTGTACATAACTGATGGAAGTGCTTTGCGAGTTTATACCGATATACCTCAAGTGGAGGAATTCTTGAACCGTCCTGAATTTGTACTCAGTATGTGTTCTCCTCTCCACCCCATCCCATCTTGAGTCATGTATCACTTACTTCCTGTTTTGACCATACCTGTTTCATGCTGCACATGTTTTATATACTTTATCTTTCCCAAAAAAAGAGCCATGTTCCAAAAAAAAAAGTTTGTCCCAAGGAGTACAGTTTTAAAATCAACTTCAATTTTTAAGTGAATTTTTTGTAAACCAAGTGGCAAGTAGATTTAGCCAGTTGCTCCAAATGACTTAAGAAATACTCCCTCCGTCTGGATTTATTTGTCCACTTTCTTGTTTTCGTTTGTCCGGAATTAGTTCTCCACTTTCCATACTCAATAAAGAAATTATGATTAGTTGTCTAACATATCCTAGAGGTAGTGTATGAGCATTGTTGACAACTTGACATGAATGAGTGACAAGCTCATTTGAAGGACTTATTTATATTTTCAACCCATTTCTTAAAAATGAAATTTTCGGAAGNTAGTTTTAATGGTACAAATGACCATTCATTATTGGTTAATAGTTGTACCTTACTCAAACATGCTCTTGTTTTGGGGTGGAGTATTTTATAGTTAAATAGTTAAATCAATACAGCAGTATTAATAAATATGCTCCTATGTAATATTAATGTATTACCATTGTACTAATGGACTTGGCATAACTCTAACCAGACTGGCATCCATGAACTGTAGATTATATGTATAAATACAGTAGTCTTGTATTCATTTTGGATTACCAAAATTAAGCAACAACAACAACAACCCAGTATAATCCCATGAAAGTTGGGTCTGGGATTACCAAAGTTAAGCATCTTCCATAATCTCTTTGCCTAATCTCTCTTTTCCAAATGTATTAGAACAATCTGTTTAGGCTCATTATCAGACATCACTCTCCGGCCAGCAAAATCAAGTCACGTGCACTGTTGAACCCTTCTGACTAATTGTTGGCTGTCAACAAAACACCACATCCATCCTACTTTGAGGCAAACTCCAAGTTTGATGGTCTCCACAAGTGTCCATACGTGTCTCTGCTCTGATCCTAGTTCCTTCTCTTTTTCGGTCCACATCTCAGCTTTTGGTGACTCATTGGTGACACCGCTAACACAGTTACTCCAATGTGTTCAACATCCTGAGGGGCCATATCCAGAAGTCTTTATCTCTAACCAATTCCAGAACTTTTTTTGTTCTAATCGCTTTGCTAAATTTAACAATCAACTCATTCAATGTTACTGCCCTTGAGAAACTTAGTGTGCTACCCTACTAATTCTACTGGGCTTAGCCCAACCCTGATCAGATTAGCATCCTAAACCTTAGATTATGTGTATAAATAGGAAGCTTGATTGCTCATGTATGCATTATCAGTTATCAGTATTATTCTCTTTTCATAACCTCTTCTCTAAATCTCTCTTTTCAGAACAACAATAGACTGGTTGTATGAAACATAACTTTGACTGTTAATTTATCAGGAACTATGTTCTACATTGATTTTTTGCAGCATCTGAGGCAAAGGATGCAGATATTATATGGACATGTATGCAGGTAGATGAGGAGATGAAGAAGGCTGCTGGACTCAATGACCAACAGTACATAAATCAATTTCCCTTTGAGGCTTGTCTGGTTATGAAACATCATTTGGCTGAAACAGTTAAAAAGGTCATAAGAACACATCAATATTCCCATTTCGTCAAATGTATTGGCATTGAATTGCCTTTTGGTCACATTATGCGATGCTAAATAGTGTTTACTTTCCTATCAGGCTCATGGATTGCCTGAATGGCTTCAGCCCACGTACAACCTTGAATCACAACTCAATCAAATGATAGGTGATTATTATGCCCGGCAAAGAGATGGAGTGGATAATCTATGGATCTTGAAGCCGTGGAACATGGCAAGAACTATTGACACAACCATAACTGGCAATTTATCTACTATTATCCGTTTAATGGAGACTGGCCCAAAAGTATGCCAGAAGTATATTGAGCACCCTGCTTTGTTCAAGGGGAGGAAGTTTGATCTTCGTTACATCATCTTGGTCCGCAGCATAAGCCCATTGGATATTTTTCTGGCAGATGTATTCTGGGTATGGAAAATGTTGCTTAACCATAAGATATCAACTCCTGCTTTGCAACTTCATATGCTTTTTATGCATTTGGCCGAATATTTTCTATTTTCAGGTTAGATTAGCAAACAATATTTACTCTTTGGACAAGCATAGCTTCGACGAATATGAAACTCATTTCACTGTTATGGTAAGTACTCCTCGAGTGAATTTTATGGAGTAGTTATTGACAATTTATAAAATGGTCTACATCATTGAGTGAAATTTCCAAATAAAAGTGCAATTTTCTTTATTGTTTAATGCAGTGAATGAAATTAGTTAATTAATACTCCGTAGTTAATACAACTAAATCATGCTCTCAGATAACTGAGACTGATTTCATGGGCTAAGAGAGTATCACGTTGTTGCTTACCTATATCTCCCTTCTCTCAAACTCCCGAGTAATGGAAGGAAATGGGGTGTTTAACTTGTATGAGCACATGGAGGGGAATGGAAATGCTAAGGATCCCAACTCGTCTTTAGATCCTCAATCCATTGGTTTAAGTCAACTCCATTTTTGATATCCAACATTAGGTTATCTGTCTAATCAATCAAAGCATAGGCTTTAACTTTATATTCCTTGTTATGTCTTCAGAATTATCGAGGAAGACTGGAGCAGAAGAATATATCAGACTTCGTGAATGAGTTTGAGGAAGAGCACAAAGGTGCTCCGTGCTTCCTATTTTGCCTCTGCAAAAATATGCCTATTAGAATATTGTACTTTGTATGGAGTATTATATTAGTGTCTGGTCTTAAGAGTTTCGTACATTACCCCGTTCCACTTACCTATTGCAGTTAAATGGATGGATATCCATTTGAGAGTTAGGAGTATGATTAAATCTGTGTTTGAGTCTGCTGCATCAGTGCATCCGAAGATGCATCACCCTAAATCTCGTGCAATGTACGGTGTTGATGTAATGCTTGATTGCCACTTTCAGCCTAAACTACTTGAGGTAAGAAATCGTTCACCTTAAGTTTCTTACTCATGCTTCGATGGTATAGATATTTGGCAAACTCCCATCATTTCGGTACAAATTCATGCCTTTTCGGAAAATGTGTTAAGGAACCAACTCAATCAAAAGCTCAAGCTTGTGACTGTAGGTTCAAAAAAGGTTTAACATGTCCCCTTATAGTTTTGTTTTTGCTCTAGCCTTACACGTGAACATTAAGTTTTTTTAAACTGGGTGGTCGTGGTCATAACATGTTTAGAAGCCAACTCAACCAAAAGCTCAAGTTTGTGGTTGTATGCATAGTAAAGGTTTTGTACTAGCAAAAATATCACCTCGATATATTAAAATTTTCAATAGACATTTATTGACTTTTGGTACAACTATTATAACGGCCCGAATGCTTTCAAACATCCAACTAGAATGTTCACAATATGCGAATCGTTGGTACGTTTTGACTGTATGGTATGGTAAAAAAATGTTGCTTGTGAGCATTGATAGAATGTGACGTATGTGCGTGTTTCCAGGTTACCTACTGTCCCGACTGCACCAGAGCTTGCAAGTATGACACAGAAGCTGTGATTAAAGGAGGAGAAACTGTCAAAGGACGCGATTTCTACAACTACGTGTTTGGCTGTCTTTTTTTAAACGAAACTAACCATGTATTGCTGTTGTAGACGTAGACAAGTCTACCAAACGTTTTGTGCTTTATAGGCTTGATCTAGTTCACAATTATGCCAAATGAGTGTTTTGCTATGTTCTTGCACTAGTATTCATGCACCCTAAAGTTTGAGTGAGTAATATACTTTGTGATGACTTAATTTGGCAATCCACTCATGTTGTATTGTATTAACGCATCCAAGTCCCTTTTTGTGATTGAAGTTTGGGCACATGAGAGAAGTATTATGAGCCACACAATTCTTGTTTGAATGAAAGTGAAAATTTCTTTTTCGAATGCGCTAAAAAAACTGAAAAGTTTTTGGGAGTTGGTCAAACATCTTGTCGATGTGGATGCATTTGAATATTTTTTCTGATCCATTTGATTTGTTATTGTTATTACTCATATTGTATAATTATTTCATATTTCTTTATATAATTTTGTCTATTACTCTCTCTGTCCCAAATTAAATTGCATGTTCACTATTCGCATGGTCAAATTTCATTTACTTAGTTTACTTTTTTTGGTATTCATTTGATAAAATAAAATAGTAATGTCACTATTATTTTTGTATACTTTTTGATATAGTTTTTTAATTTATAATTTTTATTTTTTAAATTTCACATCATTTTTCGTATAAAATAATTCAAAATTTTTTTTAGTCAAATATCGTAAATTGAGACAGACAATATGAATTGAGAGAAAAGGAGTATTTGATAAGAGTTGTATTCATTAATTCGGAAATAAAAGAATCTTTTGCTAGACACGGATTAATTCAAATTCAAGAAATAAATACACCTGCTAGAGTACCTATCATCCAAAGAGGAATCTTTCAAGTATCGGTCCAAAAGGTGGAATCGCCCACCCCAGGCGCCCCCACCCCCTTGCCCGACAGGAATGGTGGAGGATGTAAATCATGGTGACTCAGTCGGCCAAGTATTATCAGTCATTGACCTCCCCCCACCCCCGACCACACTTAATTAAACGAACATGTTGTAGCCATAAACAATCATCGATAATTACTAAGAAATCTTTCGAAAGAATAGAATGCCTATCATCTCACATCTCATTATTCTTAATTGAAAAAAAAAAAATTGAGAATAAAATAGCAAGTACAAAAATGAGTACTAACTACTAACCCCCAATATAGACTGGTACAATTCAAATCCATGGTTTGTTCGTTTGGGTTTGATTGTTTTGTCGTAGCTATATAATTTGGATTCATTTTATTTTAACTTCTATCGTCGGGTAAATTATTTCAGTTAAGCATTATAAACCATACCGTAAACGTTCAAATGGGGTATAACACTTACACAGAGACATTGGATTTGCCGATTTGGTGTACATTTAATGCTTTAGATGGCCCTAAAAAAACTTGATAATGTATTAGTGGCCATCAATTAGACTCAATTTTGCCAGGATCACATGATTGAAACTCATTCATCACTAATAAAAAACATTAGTTTCATGACACATGAACTTAAAAATCATGACTTGACTCATGTTCCAAACAAACAAGATTCAAAATCATGATCTTGAAATAAATGTCTCAACTCAAAATCACATGCTATCCGAACTATGCCTTAGATTTTCTGGTGTTATATATACTCTTTCCGTCCCAATATAATTGTTCCATCTTACATTTTTCGTCCGCGACACTACATTTTGTCAAATTTTTTTGTGTGGTTAAAAACCATTCTCACTATATCGATGCTTTACATTTCATTATCAAGCAAGCATAAAGACGTGTGTCGCTTCATCGTGTTCTAAAAATGATGGGACGGAAGGAGTAATAAATAAAAATCACAAACAAGAGCAGTTCATTGAAAGTCAAATATCAGTTCTTTCCCTCTTTTGCCTTTTCTTCTTCACCAAACCTTTCTCTTCCCGCATCTTAACCTTCTGAGCTTTTCGGGATTTTTCCTTCTCCTCAAACCCATCATCTGTCATCTTCATTTTTGCCACACGTCTCGCCTTGAAAACCTGCAAAAGACAATCCAATCAAGAAATATTCAAAAGGTTGCAGTAGAAATCACAACCCAAAGATGAGCAATATACCTTTGTGACATTATCACTAGAGTCTTTCTCTTTGCAAGGGAACTCCTCCAGTTGTTTACCAATGATAGCTTCTATCTCATGAACAAGTTTCACATCATACTGCATCATCAAAGGGAAACACAAATACGCAAAAATGTCAAAAAGAATGTATGAAATACAAATCAAGAAAGGTTATATTACACCCAAAGAAAAAAATCTGGTAAATGGTCTAAAAATGATTTGTCCCTGAAAAAAGTGTTTTTGTTTAAAAATGATTTCTCCAAGTAATTTGACATGGACAAATCATTTTCAAACCTTTTAACAGATTTCTTCATTCCACATATCCATGCCGTTTTCTTTTTACTCCCTATCCATCAAATTTCTGATAAAGTTGACCAGATAATTTTGGAGGGGAGGGAGTATAATTTTGCACAATTGCAAATGGACATGTAAACCATATCTTTCCGTGAAAGAATACCATATTTCATCCTCTATAGAATTCTTTAGGAGAAAAAGGTAGATTGACTGCTTGCCTCTGTAACTAAACTAGCAGCAAGCCCACCTCTACCTGCTCTTGCAGTTCGACCAACACGGTGAACATAATCACGTGGTTCTCTGCAGTATAACAATGAGAAGTCATCAACATAAAGATACACTATGTCGTTGTTGAGTTGTTGTCAAAAATATAGAATCCAATAAAATCAACAACCTTGGAAGATCATAATTTATCACCAGATCAACTGTTGGAATGTCTAGACCACGACTTGCAACATCAGTCGCAAGTAAGATAGGGACCTTTCGTGATTTGAATTTATGTAGTGCAGAGAGTCTCAAAGACTGTGAATTGAATGAGTGCAATGCAACAGCTTCCATTTCAAGTTCTTCCAACAACAAACTCAAAAAATGGCAGTTCCTGCTCACCCAAAGAGAAGCTTGTGTGATTTTTTCTAACATAAAGAGGTGCTCGAAATTTACCAAAAAAATATATATTCCACATAAGATAGATAGCTACTTCAACTCCAATACATCTTTTCAAGTCAAATGAATCTAATATGAGCTGATCATAGTATGAGTCAATCTGAAAATATAACTTTCTTGTGCAGGCAATTTTTTTGTTGTTGATATACTCCACTTGATATGAAGAAAACAGGTTAGTTGCACCAGATATCAAATATAATATCACACCTGCAAGTGGAAACAAACACTATGGCTGATCGAATGCCCATTTCCTCCATTTTGGACAAAACACAATAAAGAGAAACCTCCTTGATGCTTGATGGAGTCAACAAATACTTCTGAGTAAGGGATTCAACAGTATTGAACCCCTCATATGCCTCATAGAAATATGCTTTGTTCGCAGAGACCTCGAGTAACGTCTGCAATTCTCGGGTCATTGTTGCAGAAAATAGCAGAGTTTGGCGGTTCTTTGGCAAACATTGAAAAATTGCTCTCAGTTCCTCTTCAAACCCGACATCCAAAAGTCTATCAGCTTCATCTAGAACCAAGAACTGCAGTGAAATCACAGAACATAGTGAATTCCAAGATTTCATTAAATTCTTAAGAAAAATAACCATAAACTGGCCCGAGCATTGCAAAATCTAAACTTGTTATGATTATGAACCTTGGTTTTGGAGAAGATGGAAGGGATATCAGGACTCTGTTGGAGAAGAGTCTTGATTCTTCCGGGGGTGGCTATTACAACATGGGGCCTCTGCATCAGAGTCTTGGCCTGATTCACAGAATCCATTCCTCCCACCACTTCTGCACACCGCAAGTTCAAGCCCGAACCTAGTGCACGAAACTGCTCGGCAAGCTGGTAAGCCAACTCCCGAGTGGGAGTGACGACCAGAGCAAACACTCCATAGGGATCTTGCGCGAGAATATGAAGTAGAGGAAGGGCGAACGCCGCCGTTTTCCCAGTGCCGGTCTGTGCGATGCCCAATACGTCCTGGCCGGCGAGGATTCGGGGAATGCAATGGCGTTGGACAGGGGTAGGTTTCTTCAAGCCGAGCTCTTTGCAGGTCTGGACAGCCCATTCTGCAAGACCTAAATTGGAAAAGGAGATGTGGTCGGGTGTGGGATCCGGGTCCGTCTCCTTCTCGAGGTGCTTAGGGTTTTGGCTATCGCCGGAATCCTTGGGTGGAGGACTGTCGGCCGCCGAGGTGGTGGTGAGTTTAGGTCGCTGTGAGATCCTTTTGCGCGAAAATAACGGGAAATTTTCACTGATTGCAGTATCTCCATACTCCGCCATAGTTCTCTGCAACTCAATTCACTTCTAGTGAGATTTCTTTGAGGAAGAAGAAGATAGACGAACGGTGGACTGCCGGCGCTGCCGCAGCTTTCTCCGTGTCCAGCTCCTCGAAACACGTCGACCGCCTGGATGTCATGGAGATTTGGATTTTTAGGTTAAAACTAGTGTTTTAACGCCTAGGATTAACTAAATTTTGTTATATTCTATAATATTTTATTAAAGACAATGTTCTTTTGAATTCTGACTTTTAGAGTTTTTTTTGTTGTGAGAAAAATAATTTTTAAAAAATTTAAATTTAATTTTCTTCGGTTACATAATTAGTAGGAAATCATTTTTTTAAAAAAATGATTATATTTCATATAGATGAATGTCCATTTTCTTTGTAATTGCTTGAGTTCTCTAATTCTACTAATAAAGCAAAAAACTACTCTCATCTCGTCTCCCTTTCTTAAACCTTACTCCCTCCGTCCCAAAATATTTACCACACTTGCTTTTTTTAGCAGTCGCGGAAACTTTTGTTTATTTTTACGTTTTTATTGATTATTTGATAAAATAAAATATTCTTGACACCTATTATTTTGAAGAACTTTTCATGTAGTTTTTTGATATGTAAATTTTATTTTTTATTTCTATACCAATATGTAAATAAAATGAATTGAAAAAACTTGATACTTTACCTCGGTAATAGAAATGTGACAAATATTTAGGGACGGATGGAGTATAAAACAAAGCTCTATAATAGAGATTTGATACCTATTGTGTGTGAAAATAATATAATTATGTCACCTCTAAATTTGTAAAACTTTTGATCTCGTTTTAAAATATGTATTTTTATTATTTAACTTTACACGAATCATCATATCAAGTGAATTAAAACTAATTTTAATCAAACGTCGTAACGAAGAAAATTTGTAGATGAAGAGAGTATTTATTTAAAAAAAATCATACACTAATAAACATTTCCGTAAAATTAATTAGAATTTGGTACTTTAAATTCCAAAAAATATTTTTTAAAACAAATTTTTAATAATAATACAAGATAATAACATAATTTATAGATCTTTCGATGTAGTATGATTAAATATATAATTGATATCACTATATTATTTTGGAAAATTATTTTAAATAATCCCATCTTTTCATCACTTTTTTCAAAAATAATCTCACTTTTTACTGTCATAAAAAATAATCTCATCTTTCTACATGTGTGCGAGTTTTGGGTCTCCGTTAAAAAATTAACAACCACTTAACAGGATTTTTTGAAAATACATATTTTTGGAAAATAAATGAAAGGTGGGATTATTTTAGGTAAATTTATTTTTTAATTTTTTGACATGCAAAGTTTTTTTAAGGATAAGAACCAAATTCAGATATTCCCTCCGTCCCAAAATATTCACGACATTTGCTTTTTCAGCAGTCGCAGAAACTTTTGTTTATTTCTACGTTTTCATTGGTTATTTGATAAAATAAAATATTCTTGACACCTCTTATTTCGAAGATTTTTTCATGTAGTTTTTTGATATGTAAATTTTATTTTTTATTTCTATACCAATATAAAAATAAAATGAATTGAAAAAACTTGATATTTTGCCTCGGGAATACAAATGTGGCAAATATTTAGGTACGGAGGGAGTATTAAGGATTAAGGATATAGAATAATTGCTTGTATTTTTCTCAACCTAATGACGCATAATAGGTTAATGCATCTGCTTTCTTTGGAGTTCAAACATGGGAGGAGTTATATTCATAATCACTTATATTTTAAAAAAAATGATAAGCTTCATCCCCGAGAGCCTCTAAGACTCGGTCAAACACTTATTGAGAGAAGATAAATTAAAATTTGAATCCGGTACTTATAGAGGTCTAATGCTTAGCATAATTGCCTTCCATCGCAGTTGTCTGTAATCAAACTCGGGTCTTACCCCCTTGGCAATCTTTACTTTTGTCAACTACGCAACACGGTGGAACGATCTTTTCGTTTCCAATTTTTAAGTTTTCTTTGCTACAACATTCTTAAAAAATTGAACAAAATAAAATATCAACCTTAAAAGTTAAAATAATGATAAAATAAACTCACTCCTCCCACAAAACCTCTATGGTTTTGAATTTTAAGAGATTTAAGGGAAGAGTATTTTGGTGTTGACCTTCCAAAAATGCCCTTGGATGTGATGTGTAAAAGTAAGATGCGATGAGTAGATTAATACTAAAAAATGTGATCTGGTAGATATGTTCAAAATTAGTAGGAGTAAAAGTGATTTTCTAATAGAATTAAGAAAGATTTTTGGGGACGGATGAAAAAAGAAAGGAGAAGATTTTGTGGAACAGAGAGAGTATAATATTTTTTGATGAAAAATTATACTATATTTATTTGAAAATTAACATGTCAAGCTCTTACTTAAATTAGAACATTTTGAAAAATTAAGGTTTTGCTAGATTTTGCTTCAATGGGAATATATTTTATGTTTTAAATTATAAATTTCAAATCTTAAATTTTAATTATAGACTTTAAATTTTGAATTTTAAGTTTTTTAAAATTTTAAATCTCATCACTAATATTTATGATCAAAGGTGTGTTCTCATTATCAAGTTCTCTTACTATTATTGACCTCATTATTCAATTCATTGCATGTGCTTATATTTTTTTCAAACAGGGAATCATTTCATGGATGGTGAGTGTTAAATATATTGTTACTATATATTTAATATTGTAATTATTGTAGTTACCTTATGTGTATAGGTTACCATTAATATGTTTCCTACCCTAACTAGGAAACCCTCTTGTATATATACACATGTAACATCACCTTTGTGATTATTGGAAATTAATCATTCTTCATGGTATCGGAGCAATAATCAATCGCAGCTCCCCTCAAACCCTAACTCTCTCTCTCTCGGCTCTCTCTCAGCCGCTTCTCTGCCTCTCGGCTTTCTCCCTCTCTCGGCACACTCCCTCGCCGCTGGCAATCCACCATTGCCGAGGTTTCTTCCATCTCCTCCGACAACAGCAACTCCTCCAAATCTCCCCACCTTGCCTTCACCACAATCTCCAACATCAAGCTTCATATCCCTGTCCAACTCAGCATCTCAGAACCCAACTATAAGAAGTGGAGTCGTCTCTTCCGTCTCCTCGTCCTCCGCTTCAATCTCATGGGTTTTCTTGAAGGCACCACCAAAGCCAAATCCTCCGACGACACTGAATGGTTTCAATTTGATGCTCTTCTTCAAGGGTGGATCCTATCCACGGTCTCTGATGAAGTTTCAGATCTCGTCCTCGCCAACAGTCCATCCGCTCATGCCCTCTGGACGGCGATTCACAAACTCTTTCATGAAAACAAACATGCTCGGGCGATGCAGTTGGAGCACCGTTTCCGAACAACCGTCAAGGGAAATCGGTCCATCAATGACTATTGTCATCTCCTCAAAACTCTGGCAGACTACCTTGACGATGTGGATGCTCCGGTGACCGAACATGCCCTCGTTCTCCAGGTTCTTCAAGGCTTGCCCCAAGACATTCGGGACCAAGTGCACTTCCTGCAGTATCAAAATCCTTTCCCGACGTTCCTGGAAGTTCGCTCGGCCCTCCTCCTCGTGGAACAGCAGCAAACCGACGCCCTCTCCAACTCCGGGCCGCCGACTGCCCTCCTTAGCACCGGCGGTGGCAGCGGCAACCACACAGCCGGCGAAGGCCAGCTGCGGCAGTCCAGCGACGGCTCTGGACGGGGCTCCTATGGCAGTCAGAACAGAGGCAGCAACGGGGGACAGCGTGGGCGCGGACGTGGACGTGGACGTGGCCCGAATCAGCGACAACCCATCGGCCCAAACCCTTGGCAGTTCACTAACCCATTCCCCGGCCTTTTGGGCCCTCGGCCCAACTACAGCCCAACCCCCTACCCAGCCCAGGCTCATCTCACCCAATACCCGAACCCCCCCTCCTACTCCTACTACCCACCCGCACCACCCACTGATAAGTCCGTTTTGTACGCACTTATTTTCTCTATATTTAATGTGTTGTGGTCCAATTTTGGATTAAACAAATCAATTTCTCAATGATTTTTATAAGTTTTTATTCATAATTGTAAAAGTGCACAAAAGTTATGTCTTGTTGTAAAAAAAATAAAAATTGAGTCAAAAGTGGTACAAAAAGATAAAAGATTGTGCAAATGGAATACAACGAAGCAATGAGGCAAAAGATGGCGAAAATCCATAAAATGAAAAATGTGCATTCAAATGTGGTGATGCGCCCCGTCGAAAGATTTGAGGTCAAACGGATTGAAAAAGCACCAAAA